TGCGGTTCTATAGAAAGAGAACTTTTGTCTTATCGAACTTTTCTTCCAATGAATCCAATCCATCCAAAACAATCTGCTTGGAAAAGTTTTTCGTTTAATTTACGAATTTGCTTATTCAATTAGAAAGTGTTTCCGTTTAACCATGTACCGCTCGATTCTAAGTTGGAGGGATCTGAAATTTAAAGTGGTATATCAAAAATGCAATCGAATCAAATGTGTTGGTTGAAAAACACTCTTCACCAAACTTGTTACTAAAAAAACACTTAAGATAATGACTTTTCCAAATGGCTACCAATATATGGCTTATTAGATTCAGAAAACTCACTGCTCACACTCGTTATTTGATTTTAAACCAGAAAATATTTGACTTATTAATTCTACAGAGGGCAATTATTTCTTTTCAGGCGAAAAGTCAATACCGAGCCACAAAGACACATTTCTCTGGTGGAAACTAATGAGGCCCCATTACTATTGCAACATCCTTTTCGCGAAAATAACAAATGCTGACAATAAACGGGAGACAGGGGACGGCGATAAAGGCGATAAGAAAAATTGACTCTATCGGGTAAAAGTCGATGATCCGCACCGAAAGAATTTTCTAATTTGAATTTGTTTATTAGCATTTATGGCTTAGTTTAGATTGAATAGCATTTCGCTAATCATGGTAAAATTCATTCGATATTAATTAGTTTCGTTTTTCAAAACTTAAATAAATGGCCAAGTAACTTACTTGTCTTTCTGAAAGGAGCAAAAGAACTTCTTCTGTTAAACACTTAACACTCGAAATAGGCCTCCTTAATTAGTGTAGATCCGGTTGCTGTATCTTTTCAAACCTTTGTTCGGCCAGGATTTCTGGAAAATACGGATTTATCAATTTTGTTGAAGAAAAAGTTCACTTACTATAATAATAAATAAAAGAAACAGGCGGCCTAGGAACAAAATAACTGGAATTTACGTAGTAAAGGATATGCCAGGGATAAACGATGAAAAGAGAACCAGAGTAAATGTTTATTAAATTCTGCTGGAAGTTTTTTAGGTTAAGCTTTGCAATCCAAGTCTTTTCTCTGATTTATTTGATAAGTTCTAATTTTTACTCGCGTCTTTCATTGGATTTGGTCATTGTTGTGAACGAAATTATGGGTTCGTTAGCCCTAAGTTATATTGTCACTATTGTTTTCTGAATCTGCTACGGTTCTGCAATAGCTGTTACTCGTTTTGTGCTCTAGTGAAATATTCATATTATATTTATTGAGGATCCTGTTATTTTTAATAGTTGTATTTTCATCATTTCGCTTTTGAATGTTGTTCTATTCTCTTAATTTCACAAATGAATATAAGTATTCTAACTTGGGTTTGAACATCTATTTTATCATCCCCATATAAAACCTAAAAAATAGATTGCTGAATCGGAATATTTCCCAAAAGACAAAAATTGAGGAAGGCATAAAAAATTAAATCTGAAAGTTCAAATAACCAATAGTATGCGCCAGATCTCGATTTTTTTCAGGTAAATGATAATCAATATTATATTATATATATACATATATTATATAATATTAAACTATATTTCTTTATTATTTTGTACTTGAATTGAATAGTACTTGCAAAAATTCCAAATGATAATATTTTTGAATTCATCATCTTGAGAATCTAAATATATTATGTATTATTTATAGGTTGTGAAGAATTTCGTGCACGAGCTAATATTATGACGAGTTATCATATAAAGCGAAGAAGAATTATTTTTTCTACAACTGCAGCGTCTGAAATTAATGAATAACTTTTGCGAAAAAATTACTTTAGAGCAGTTAGCTAGAACATTATTCTAGCCAATTTAGCTGAAAAGAAAAAAATGGTAAAAGTGTCTACATTGTGGTCTAGTTACTTACTCCATGCTCAAATCCGTAAACATAGATATTACCAAACACTTGAAGATTTCTCCAAAAAAACGAATGGTAGGATATGGAGCAAGAAAATCGAAAGTATTCACAAGTGCAGATATTTCCAAACTTCTAACTACTGCTCCGGATGACTCTTAATTTCTGTCGAAAGTTCTGCTCATCATTGAAGTCTCTGGAGCTTGCCGGCTTGATGAGCTAGTAAAAATGAGCGTTGATGATATTCAAGATGAAGAATTCGTGGTATAAATCACTGTTCCAGATACCAGAAGAAGATTCACAATCATCAATCTTGAATACATTCGAATATTCCGGACGTACACAAAATTTCGGCTCCCTTATGTGAGCTTAAGGTTTAAAGTCAACCCTTTTTTTGTGAACCTTGTGTTCAAAGATTCCAAAAAAAATATATGTTTTATGGTTATCGATAAACTTTAATCCATAATTTTTTTAAGCAAATTTGACTCGCCATTTTTGAGTTATATCGCAAAAACTTTAAAAAAATTGTACCACCTACAAGAGTATCTTCACCTATTTCAGCATCTAAATCAACATCGACAGGCATAACTAGATGTCATTGCAATAATAGTTCTATTCAGATTGTTATTAAATAAAATAAAAATATTGCAGTTTAATTCAGTGTATTTTTTCAAATATTTCGACCACTAGTTCTCCAATATATTTCGCTCACAGTACTCTAATATATTTCACGCACTGTGCTCTAGTATATTCCGCTCACTAGTGCTCTAGAATATTCCGCGCACTAATGGTTTGAAATATTTCGTTTCCAGTGTAATGGATATTATCGATTATTCCACTCATGTGTTAGAAATCCCATAAGACAAGTGACGATTTTCAGAATTACAACGAAAATTCTCTTTTCCATTTGTTTAACTAGAGAGAATTACAGCGATAATTCTCCCATGTTATTGTATACATGGTTGTTATGCTAATTTTTGATCAAAAAAACGATTCCTGATAGCAACCATTTATTTGTATTGATTGTTAAGATGTTCAAATCGTTTAATACATATTTATTTCCATATTTCTTGCATTCTCATACGTGAAATAATCCTCTAAATACCACTTGAGCTTTAAAATGAACCAGATAATTTTTCACTCATGCGTGTTTTCTCTGCAAATTTCACTCGTCCTACGGACTCGTGAAATTATAGAAAACACGCAATCGTGAAAAATTGTCGGTAATTTTGAAGCTCTCGTGGTATTATTCCCGATAATTTTTTTGAGAAATTTGCTCGAATGCATTTTTAGTACCTTAAACAATCTGAAGTTCGAACCTTTATTTGTTAATTAGGTAATTCTATTAACCTCTGACTACCCGCGCCCCTACGGTAAAAACCCGATTCGGTATCCCCACTCATGTCCCTCGATGTAACATACCACCGATGTGTTTACTAGGTGCTCAGAGAGTTGCGCTTTGGTAGCTGGAAAGCTAGTTGGTTTACTGACAATTTCTTTAGTGCACTACAACAGACTGCGAAGTGCAAATGAAAGCATTCATGGGTTTGCTAATGTTATCTGGATATAAGAAACAAAATCATACCCACTTTTTGAACTGTGGACGACAGATGGTACCGGTTCTGGAAATTTTCGAGCACGTATGAGGATAAATCGACTCCTAGCATGAAAAATCAAGGCAAAATGTTCTCTTATTCCTATACATTAATTAATGTACTCAATCACACATTCATAAATGTGGTGTACATAATACACCGCGCGGGTACCTAAGTAACATGAGATACTAGAGCGCAGGCAGCTAGAGGTTAAATGAATAAAAGCACATTAAAATTAAAAATGGCAATAATTTATCGTTATTCGGCTGAAAGCTTTTTCCTGGAAACTTTCGAGAATAAAAAGGATGTGAAACAAAAAACAAAAACGCGGTTAATACGAGAGTAAGCCGTGTTGTTTATTCTAAGGAGAATCACCAAGAGACCAAATTGGAGCCCCTAATTTTCGCGTTCCAGGTAAAAGGGGAGATACTTATTTTTCTCTGGAGACTCTTTTCGGACTTTATCATAATGTATACCCTATAGGTTGCAATTTGCATTATTTTGTAAAATAGTCTATCTGTGATTTGGAATATTTTTTGAAATTTTTGATGCTAGACTCGACAACTTATTAAGCTAATGAAAAAGTGCTATTCGCTTGAATTAATCGAATTTATTTAAGCTTTCTTGGATGTATATTTTCTATATTACAACAATTTTAATATTTTCTTTGGTATTGTACAATGTTAAATATCGATATAAAATTTTAGTACACAGTAAATTTGTGTTTATTTTAATTTGGTCTGGCAGAGATAAAATATCTGTACAATGTTGTCACATTCCAAATTTAAATTCTGCGATAACTCCGAAAATACTGTCACAGATCTGGCTTGCGTGACATAAATCTTGGGTCTGTTTATTCAAAATCAAAGTCCAATTACCACAACAATAATTTATTCCACGTTATTTTTGACACTAATTACTTCACTAATCAATTGAAATAACTTAACTCTTTACAACTCTTACAATATTCACTAGTCAAATCATATCACAGCTAATCTCAAACTTAAAAGCTACTAACTAATACCGGTCTTTATATATACGTAATCCATTCGTGTAAAATCCAGAATAAACGCGATAGCCCTTTTTCCCGCATTGCACTGTAAAATCTAGAATCAGCTATTCAATTCTGTGCATCCTGGCAGAAACGCATAGGTAAACTTCGCTACAATACTAAGAATTGACCCATGGTTAAGAGAACAGTTTCAGCTTAAAATGGGCCATATTATCTCATGTAAAATATTTGTACTCATACCTAATACATAAGCCCTTTTTTGTATTAATTCAGTTTTTTTTTCAATATCTTTTGTTTATTATGAATTTTAGAATTTAGTTATTTTGTAGATCTTCATTATAATTTTTTTTTTGGTTAGATCTCGCCACCTAATTGCTATATTTTCTTTTGTTTTTATTTCAATCATGTAAATAAAGGCAGATTATATTATTTGATATTATTATTATTATTATTATTATTATTTTTTATTCACCTTTAGAGGAATGGATTCGAGTCGTAACCGGGCCGAAGTCAAGGTTACGTCTCGTGCAGCACATAACGCCGCACTATATGACATGTTCCAAGCTCCACCGGTCTTTGCATTAGTCCGGCCAGTTCTCTGCCCAGGTCAAGTTTTTCTAGATTTTTAACAAGTCGTCTTTCTACTAAACTTGTGGCAGAAATTATGAACGGCAAGACTTCGATTTTCTTGAGATCGTAGATTCTTTTCAATTCGTGTAACAAATCTTGGTACTTGGTGACTTTCGCTGTGTAGGAATTTATTATGTTGCTGTCTGCTGGTACTGCAAAGTTAATAACAAATGCATATGTCCCTGTTTTCTTAATGTAAAGAATGTCTGGTTTGTTGTGAAGGATTTGCTTATCAGTTACGATCAGCGTGTCCCAGTAGATTTTTGTTGATCCATTTTCGATGACAGAGCTAGGGTTGTACTTGTAATACGGAGGAATTTCCTTGATGAGATGGTTCTTGTGACAAAGATGACTATGTACGATTTTCGCTACGTCATTATGCCTGTTCAAATACTCTTTTGGAGCAATTACACTACATGCGGTGGTTATATGTTGTATTGTTTCAGGCTTCAGGTTGCATACTCTACACAAGTCTGTTGCGATGGCTTGTTTCATCACGTGGCGTACATAGTACCTTGTCGCTACAACCTGGTCTTGTACCGCATTTATTGCCCCTTCAGTTTCTCGATAGAGCCAAGCCTTTTGAAGATAGAGGCACGAGGCTTCTTTGTCGATCTCGTTACTACGTAGAGCTGCTGCAAATCTGCCGTGTATTTCTTTTGATAGCCATTCTTGTATCATCTCTTCCTCATGGCTTATTATCTGGGGTTCCACATGTGCTAAATTGAGTGGGCTGAAGTTTTTGTCGGCACGAATGATTGCGGCGTGGACAGGTAAGTTGGAGTTTCTGAAATATTTTATCAAGTTTTCTTTTTGTTTTAGGTGACTCGTCTTTAGATAACAAAGCCCGCGTCCACCATTCGTCCTGGAGATGTACAACCTAGCAGTAGAAGATATGGGGTGGTGGCTACGGTACGAGGTAAGTAGACTTCGGACTAATCGGTCTATTTTTTTCAGATCAGTATCAGTCCAGTTGAGGACTCCAAAAGTGAATACTACAAAAGCCCAGGTGTTGATCGCAGTGAAGGTGTTTTTTGCATTTAAATTAGTTTTTAGTAAGAGCTGTATTCTTTTCTTTAGCTGCTGTATGATGTTTTCCTTCATGTTTGATGTTTTTATGTTCAGCGCTTGCTGGAAACCCAGAAACTTGTAAATTTCATCTGTTACCAGGTGCCTAATCTCGGTACCGTCCATGAGCTTAAGAGTATCTCCCGCTTCCGGTTTGCCTTTTTTGACATGTGAGACAGCACATTTGTCCAGTTCAAATTCCATCTTTATGGTCTTGCTGAAATTTGACACAATTTCAAGTTGATTATGAATCTGCTCACCGTTGGCTGCGTAACACTTGAAATCATCCATATAGTTCATTTTTTGACCTCGCGGTCTATCTATTTCATAGCCATATGGGTTTTGGTTAAGCAGTGAACTCAAAGGGTTGAGAGCGAGACAAAACCACAAGGGGCTCAGACTGTCTCCTTGAAAGATTCCCCTTTTGACTTGCAAATATTGAGTGAGATACTGTTGTTTCTGTTCCCGGACTCCAAGCCTCGTTTTCCACTTTTGCATTAGATGTTTCAGTAGATTGACAACTGATGGGTCTATTTTGTAGATTTCGAGAAATTTTATCAACCACGGAGTCGAAGGCTTTTTTGTAATCAACCCAAGCTACCGAGAGGTTTCTTCGCTTCGTTCTTGCTTGGTTGGTTATAATTGAGTCGATTATAAGCAGCTCTTTTGTGCCCTGAGATTTCTTTTTGCATCCCAGTTGTTCTGATACAAGAATCTGGTTCTCAGTTACATGCTTCTCAATTTTTTGTGCGATCACTGATGTTAGGATCTTATACAACGTGGGCAAGCAAGTTATTGGGCGGTAATTTTTAGGATTTTGCCAATCTCCATCTTTCGGTAGCATGGTTGTGATGTCCGCCATGAGAAATTGCGGCATGAGGGTTGGATTCTCGATAATGGCCTGAAATTGGGATGCTATCGTTTCGTGCACTGTGGTAAAGTATTTCCACCAATAGTTTTGTATTTTTTCGAGTCCAGCTAGGGAATTCTGTAATTTTCGTTTATATCGCGAAACCACGCTAAAGCTAAGCTAAACCATAGCGAAGTCGATTTTTGTTGATATTTTATAAGGTGTTCGCTTCGCTTCCGCTTCGTTTTCCTAGTGTCACACGACTGAATTCGAGTTTGAACGACGTATGCATAAATAATTATGGCAACAATGTAGATATCTGAGCCCAAAGCAAAAACTGTAAAAAAAGAAGAGAAAATTAAAAGGAACATATAATATATGGAACATACCCCAAATTTGGATTTTGATTATTTTGAGACTTCAATGACATAATTAATCATTCCTATTTTTCTTTCTATAATATTTATCTTGCATTTTTCATATTATTGTGTGATGAAAATGTTGCTGGTACAATTTGTTGTAGGTATATACAGAGCTCGAGCAAAGAAATCAACTCAGGTTAACGCGAGAAGACAGTAGGTTCCTCTGAACAATGAATAAAAAGACTGTATATAATACCTTAGATATTTGAGCTAGAAGTGGCCCATTTGGTTTACCAGATAGGAGGCTGAAACGGAAGTTTTTTGACCTTTTCTCCATGTTGCACAGTCAAAATTATAAATAAATTGATGAATGAATTCATCGCTTTCGCTTTGCAATCGGCTTCGTGATCGGAGTCCCCGATTCTTCCCGAAAGATGTTATAGAATAGCAAACCGAACAAAGCGTCCGAACGTCATTGTTTCGCTTTGAGCTTATAGAATCCGCCCCCTGGACATTTCCAATTCGCACAGTTTTTAACGGTTTTCTTGATATCGGCAATCTCAATTCTAAAGTTTTCCATAGCTGGTTTTCGTCAGTTTTCATCAGTTTCTTCCCGAGTCCAATACGCATCCTGTTGGTGGCATTCAGGTATGGACCATATGTTCTCCCAGAATTTTAGCATGGTTTGTGATTCAGGGGGTGGAGAGTTCTCATCTTCCTTTTTGGGCTGAGTCAATGATCTGTAAAACTTCCCTGGATCTTCCTGGAATAATTTGTTTTCTCTGTACCTGTGATTGCGTTTGTTGTATCGACGTATTCTTGCTCCTAGCACCGCTACCCTTTGCTATTGTTTATCTAGGTAAGTATTAAGTTGTTGTTGGTAGTTCGCGGAGTTCCTTTTTATTTTTGCTTCTTTCGCAATGGTCTTAATTTCCTTTTTTAATTTTCTTTTGTGTTCCTTGGGGTTGGTGAGGTAGGCTTGCAGTTTTCCGATTGTTTTTCTGATGTTATTTATTTTTCTCTCGATTCTTTCTTTCCATGGTGATGAGCGATCAGTATTTGTTTTAACTTGTCTTTCTTTTCTTCCAGGTGTTCCTGTCAACGTCAGTACAGCATCCGCAGCGCAGTAGACCAGTTCGTGGGTTTTCTCCAGAGTATCGCATTCCTGAATAATGTCTCTGAGAATGTTGCTGACTCCGGCGATAACTCTTTTAGATTCAGGTGAGTATTTCAATTTAGACAGTGTGGGTCGCATTGATGGTTCCATGCCTTGATATTTTGTTAGTGATCCTTTGAGAGCACTAAGGAGCTTGTCTTCCCATTCTCTGTCGTCATCTCCTTGTGTTTTTTCCTGAGCTAGCTCACATCTATCCTCTATTTTTTCATTTTCAGGTATTATTTGCGGTTCGTGATTTGGCTGGATGTCATGCCTCGTTATCTGTTCATTAAGTAGTGCTGCCGTTTCCGCCTTAAGCGTTTCAAGTTCTTATTTTTATTATTATTATTATTATTATTATCCTCAATTTCTCGATGAAAATCGGTATCTCTTGATAGGTTCAGAGCTCAACAAGAGTTCAAAGTAACCTATCAGTTTATCCTAACACTTTTCTTAAGATGTGTGCAGTGCCTAAGAGAGCAATTTTTTGTAGCATCATAGATGATGGATGACCTGGTATTTCACTTGTTCTCTGCTCCAGTTCTTTTGTGACAGTACCTAATGCTCCAATCACTATAGCAATCACCCTTGTCTTGACATTCCACGTTCTAGATATTTCCAGATCTTTGTATTTACTTAGTTTTTCAACTTCTTTGACTGCAATATTCATGTCGTCAGGTACTGCAACATCTATTAATAGGCATGATCTAGATTTCTTATCATGGATTACAATATCAGGTCGGTTTGCCTTAATGCTTCGGTCAGTATTGATAGGAACATCATATAATATTGTGATGTCAAGATCATTATATTTAATGTTAACAACTTTTTCAGGGATGTGCTGGTAATATTTCTCTGTAACATTAAATTTATAATAGTTACATATAACCCAGTGAATATAATCCGCAACTTTATTGTGCCTATGTGTATATTCTGACGGTGCTAAAGTCGAGTATTCCGCTATGATGTGGCTCACATGTTCCTCAGCCTTTCCACACATTCTACATTTGCTGTCAACTTTCTGTTTGAAGATGTTTTTTTGCAGATATCTCGTATTCAATGCCTGATCTTGAGCGGCAATTATTAGACTTTCTGTTTCCCCTTTCAAACTTGCACTCTTTAACCAAGCTATACTTGCATTTTTATTAACTACCGGTCTTTCTAGTTGCTTGAAGAATTGTCCATGTAGAGGTTTGCTTCGAAGTTCATCGATACGTTTATTTTCTATTATAGGCTTGACTCTTTTGTAACCTTCGTTATCTTGTCCGGATGGTAAATATTTTTCTTTAATAGCGGCATTTTCCTTTGTAATACAGTATTTCTGTTGTTGATCGTCGTAATGTTTTACTAAAGTAACATATTGATCCTTAGAATTATTCATATATTCTGCTAATCCGGTAATTTCTTCCTCGAAAGCTGCCTCTAGTTCTATTAGGTCGCGACCTCCACTTTTCCTTTTAATATATATTCTAGCAACGTCTGCTTTAGGATGATGTATGCCTCCCATTGTTAAATTCTTCCTGGTTGTTCTATCTAGTTGTTTGATTTCACTCTTCAGCCAATTAATAATTCCAAAGCTATATCTCAAGACAGGCACAGCTAGAGTATTTATCGCTTTAAACTTATTTTCTGCAGATAATTCTGTTTTAAGAATGCTTCGTATTCGTCGAATATATTCATTGCGAAGTCTAAGTTTAACATGATCCACATGTAAACCATAAGATTCTTCCATCCCAAGGTATTTATATGTTTCTTCTACACCTAAACTTCTGATGAGGTTTATTTGATCTAGTCTTACGTTTTTTTTTGAAATTAGTTTGCCTTTCTCTATTTATACCCTAGCACATTTTTCCAATCCCATTTC